GGACTTGTTAATCGAGTCGACAAAAATAAACAAAAGCAAAAAACAAATCAAAAACCAACAAAAAACGACAAAACAAAAAAAAACAAAAATAAATAAATTATCTATAAGTAAGAATATTGTATACAAGGATAAATTAAAAAACACACATCCAGCGCTAAAAAAAAAAAATTACATCACTAAAATCACAATTTTCATACGGCCGAGGCTGTAAACTTTCATGAGGGATGTGAGAGCAAAGGCTTTTCTTTCAACTTTACCGACTAAGCACTATCGCTCTAAAAATTAATTTTTCCTTCTATTTATGGTATAGCTAACCTTAAGTTATTGTACGAATCTTATGTTGTCGAGCTGTCAATCACCTCCATACTACATCACTTACGCATATCTATAGGTTGCAGAGCCTTAAGGCATACTCGTTTCAATTGGAAAAATGGAAAGGCCTTTGGGCTTTGCAAGCTGTATAATAAATAACATGTATAATTAATTGCATAAATAGAAGAAGAAGAAAAAAATTAATTAAACTAGCCTAATACTGCTAAGTGGGTAACGCTAAATTTTTCATACGGCTTTAACATCCCATTTAAGAAATAAAAGAAGAAGAAAACAAAATCGTCAATTATGAGTATAATAATAAGGAATTAAAAGCAAAAAGGTAAACGAACAATAGTGCGAAATAATTAATTAAACGATCTCTTGTCCTATATAGATAAAAAGTTACGCAAAACAAACGGAAAGAACAAAAAGAAAAAACTAAAACAAAAATAATAATAGGTGTACCTATTTCTTATGGTTTGCGGGCATCGGAAAAGCTGCCTATTATAAATAATTGGACTGCAGCCAAATAAATAAAAGAAAGAGCCTGTGTTTCTAATATATGCTTAATGAAAAAAATGAAAATGGAGGAAGATCAATTGCATCAGGACATCCCGCAGAGAGTTGCTCTTTCATTGTAGTTGATCGGCGGTTCGTCATGCTACGTGAGAGTTTTTAAACTCTTAAACTAAACGACTCATCATTAAATTGTGCATTGATAATCGAAGCAAAAGCTTTCAAGCGCGTAATAATGGACGTAAACGTTGAAACTTTTCCTTTTCTTTTCTTAAGAAAATACATAATAATGCTAATAAAAAGTAAATAAATAAATATAAAAACAAAAGAAAAACAAAAGAAAAACAACAAAAAAACGCAAGCGAAGTACAAACATCGGACGATGGTAATAATATTGTTGTTCATCAATCACTAAAATGCATTCGAGTGTAATATTATAAATTTTTTGGCAATTCCTCAATTGAGGAATTATAGATACTTTTAAGGACTAAAGAGAGAAAAGTTTAAATTTTTAGGAAAATTTAATCATCTAATCGAAACTGAGAATGATCATTTTCTTTTCTTTTTTTTTTTTCTTTTTTTTTCTTTTCTTTTCTTTTCTTTTCTTTTCTTTTTTAAGAGACAATTCGTGTGGAATATCGTAGATTAAAAAATTTTTTTTGTGGTATTAAAAAAGTGTGTACACGGCTTCGCTAACAAATCTCTCGCAGAAAGTGTCGTTTCGCCGTTTTAATAGTTAGAAGTAATAAGCGTTTACGAAAATTAATTTTTTTTTTTTTTTTTTTTTTTTTTTTTCAAATTTCGTTTCTTTTCTGATTCAAGCCTCTCACTGTGCGAGCTCCAATTCGAAAAAATGGCAGTGCTGCAACTGTGTATTGTAACGTACAATTCAGTCCCCCCCCCCCCTCCCCATCCCCATCCCCATCTCCCCATCCCGTTTCTTTTTTTCGAAATTGACGAGTGACATGTAAAGTTTATTTACATGGTATTATAAAAACTAACATGGCTCGAGTGGCGAAAAGTATCACAATGTCTCTTTATTTTCTCGTACGAAGCATTCTTCGTAATATATTATATGAACCAATTGGCAGAAAGTAGGAATTATAAGAGCGTGACAAGAATAATTAATTAATCGATTTATTAATTAAAAACATGGAAGTAACTATATATTATGTAGGTATTGAATGACGCCGAATTGCGTCCCTTGAGTTTCAAATGAAATGAATACTGAATTGAGGAAAGAATGAAGAGCCAAGAAAAATTTTCGTCAATGCTCATGGAACTCTTCTTCGAGAAAGTTAACCGATGTGTTGCGCATTGTATTTAGTATGTACAAGAAGGTATTGCGTCGTCTTTTTCGTTTTTGATTCGATATATTATGTTAATATAAACGTGTACAATGTAAGTATAATTACATGTATTCTTTAATGCGATTATTATATATAATCGCAAAAAATGTGAATGAAAAACGAAGAGATGCGTGCATAGAAAACCATTATGAGAGCCATAAAATTATTATATTTCTAAGAGTATAATAATAATAATAATAATAATAATAATAATAATAAACAAAAAGTCGATGAAAAAAGTCAACGTTTATGCATCATATTTAAGAATTTTTTGCATGTGCGTGCGCCCTTATTTTTAAATGACTATATGAATCTACAGCAAA